CCCGCAACTAACCCGAACTAAAGCCGCACAATTGAGCTGTTTTCCAACTATGGCAACTCATCATGACTAGCTTTCATGGGCGGGAGAGCCACGATCGCAGTGGCTCAACAAATAAAAGCTTGAGCTGACTTGGTATTGCATGTTATCTCTCAACGAGGGCGCTCGAAAACAAACAAATGGCTCTGTATTTTCCCGTTAAAAAAGAGATATGCGGTAGTCGCTGTCTAAATACCCTATGGTCAGGAGATTCGTAAAATCAATATGCAATATAGATCCGAAAAAAGATAATGCTAACTGCAGGGATGTGTTAGAATCATACCTTTGTAAAAATATGTAGATATAATAGCATATGTTTCCAATAGCGCCCATTAACTAAGTGCTTAATTTAATTATATAAATATATAAACATATATTTTCGGTGCTCTTAATAGTCCAATAACGAGTAAATGAGCAATGCAGATTCGTATCACTCATTTAATGCTATTTGTAATGTGATACCTATTAGTCTGAATTAGCATGAACCTGCCCATTTCCATTACATGCACTCGTGTGTAAGAGCTTTTTGTCTAGTCCGGCATACCTCGTTATAGAGCACTTAGTGCATTCCTCTCGCAATCGCAAGACCTCACTCCAAATGGGTTTAGTCACCGTTGGAGCCTCGAGAGCGAAGTGCGGCTTTGGGTTTCGAATTGGGGCCTGTGTAATTCGCTGTCTGGTTTAGTTGGGGCTCTCGAGCGCGGATCATGTTGGGCAACAGTTGGCCCGGTTGCAAGCGGGCTCCTCGCATGGTGCTCAAACATGTGAGGAGGCAGCACGAGGAGTTGCGGGAGCAACTGGAGCAGGGATGCGACGAGCTCAGGGAGGTGGCCGAGTCTTATTTTCCGGATGTCTTGCAGCACTTTCAGCGCAACTCGAAACTGGCCGAGTCATCGAAGCGATTGAAGTCGCAGATCTGGAGCTCAGTGGTCACCATACTGCTGGTCAAAGCCAAGGATTTGCCCTTAGCTGAAGATGGCAGCAAGCTGAATGATACTCACTTCAAATTCAGGTAAGTTGATTACCACGATTATTGACTGGTAATAGTTAACGTGTACTATTAATTCAGATTGGGCAATGAGAAGTACAAGAGCAAGTCTTCCTGGACGGAGCGCTGGCTGGAGCAGTTCGACCTGCACCTGTTTGATGAAGATCAAAACCTGGAGATCGCACTTTGGAACCGGAATACCCTCTATGGCAAGGCCATTATAGACCTCAGCGTTTTTCAACGCGAAAACACGCATGGCATTTGGAAGCCTCTTGAAGATTGCCCAGGTGAAGTGCACCTCATGCTCACCATTAGTGGAACCACTGCCCTGGAGACGATCAGCGATCTGAAGGCCTTCAAGGAGGATCCTCGAGAGGCTCAATTGCTAAGGGATAGATACAAATTTCTAAGATGCCTCCAAAATCTCCGTGACGTGGGTCACCTCACTGTAAAGGTCTTTGGGGCCACTGGATTGGCGGCGGCGGATATAGGCGGCAAATCCGATCCCTTTTGTGTACTGGAACTGGGTAACGCCAGACTGCAAACCCAAACCGAGTATAAAACACTCACTCCTAATTGGAATAAGATATTTACTTTGTAAGTAACGCTAGACTTCTTTCAATGCCATATCTTTCTAACTATCAACTTCGCATTTCAGCAACGTGAAAGACATCACTCAGGTCTTGGAGATCACCGTCTTCGACGAGGATCGCGACCACCGCGTAGAGTTCCTGGGCAAACTAGTCATTCCCCTCCTAAGGATCAAAAGTGGAGTCAAGAGATGGTATACGCTGAAGGACAAGAACCTCTGTGTGCGGGCCAAAGGAAACTCACCACAAATTCAGCTGGAGTTGACGGTAGTCTGGAGCGAGATCCGCGCCGTTTGTCGAGCCCTGCAGCCCAAGGAGGAAAAACTCATCCAGCAGGAAGCCAAGTTCAAGCGACAGCTCTTTCTGCGCAACGTGAACAGACTCAAGGAGATAATCATGGACATCCTAGATGCGGCGCGCTATGTGCAGTGAGTATAGGCTTCAAATCGCAATTTCCTGCAAACTCACTGTCTGTTTTTAAAGGAGCTGCTTCGAGTGGGAATCTCCAGTGCGATCAAGCATAGCGTTCGTCTTATGGATAGTCGCCTGTGTGTACGGCGATCTGGAGACAGTACCCCTCGTCCTACTGCTCATCATACTAAAGTAGGTAGCTAAGTGAGAGATCATCCCAATACTTATCAATTTCCCTTTAGAAACTGGCTGGTTCGCCTCATCACGGGCACCACAGATGCAGCTGCTCACTACGACTATGAGTACGACGAGGATGATGATGATGACAAGGAGAAGGAGGAAAAGAAGTCCATCAAGGAGAGACTACAGGCCATTCAAGAAGTCTCCCAAACCGTGCAGAATACCATCGGCTACCTGGCTTCTTTAGGCGAGAGCACCATGAAGTGAGATTTACTATTTCTGAGATGTATCCTGTATCTATATGAATACTGTGTAATCCCTAGCACATTCAACTTTTCCGTCCCCGAGCTGACCTGGCTGGCTGTGGTTTTGTTATTGGGCGCCATTCTGGTCCTGCATTTTGTCCCACTCCGCTGGCTGCTGCTCTTCTGGGGCCTGATGAAGTTCTCCAGACGTTTGCTAAGACCCAATACCATTCCCAACAACGAGCTATTGGACTTCCTATCGCGAGTGCCAGATAACGAGGAGATTGTAAGTGGTCTTATATGCGCTATATGCGATTAACTAGCTGCCTTAACTATAAATAATGTTTTTTCAGAATCAATATCGAGAGCTGCCCCCATCGGCACCCACCGATCAGACGCGCAACAATCCCAAGAAGAAGCTGAAAGGATCATAGTCCATAACCAGCGCTGATGCGGCAATGGCGTCCCTCTCGCCGCTGCAGTCCAGCGCACTAGGAGGAGCAGCAGGAGCAAGCGGAAGCGGAAGCGGAAGCGGATACGGATCCGGCGGAAGGCAGCAGCAGCTGATGCAGCGCTTCCGGGCCAACACCAGCCAGTTGAAGCACAAGTTTGGCCAGGCCAAGAGCCTCAGTCTGAGCCATAGCGAATTCAATTAGACACCAAAGTTGGTTAGCTAGTTAAGAATCGAAGTCAACCAGTTCCACCCATAGACGGAAACAACACGCAATTCACCTTGACTCAATTATGCAGCACCAAATTGCTTCACTTATTTTAATACAATTATATATATACACACACGAAAGAAGGATATTAATGTAAATGTGCGCAAAACTCAAAACTATTTACACAATGCGATTATGTACATACACAAGGATAGCGGATATTACTAGGAATCTATTGAAACATTGCATGTACTTAAGGTAACCTCTCTCAAAGATCTATTCGAATATTTACCAAAACTCAAATTGCTAACTACCAGATTCCTTTTGCGCGGATCCAAATGCGATTAATTATTTATTGTGTATTTCAATTTGTGATATTTTCAAAGAATTTTGCAACTAGGCTTACTACTTAATGTGACTTAACCCACGGAAGCTCAGTACCGCACCGAAGTTTCCCCCAAACTCCATTTACAATTTACCACTCGATTGCACTCGACTCGTTTAAGGACGCTTTTTCATGATATACCTTTACATATATACCTAATCCTAAGCCTTATCCTTACCAAATTTATTGTAATTATTTCACTCGGAAAGATTGTTCAAAACATTTTCTAAAACCTATATTTATTAACTTCGTCTAGGATAATCAGCTCTTAAAAGGCCTCGGCCCAGCCATACAAATATATATAAAAATGAATTGCTATGTAACCCACTCCGATTGATCCATTTGATACATTTTAGATAGTTGAACTATTTTATACCCCACAAAAAGAGCAACAACAAAGTTTTTATATACATACCAACTCAATTGATTAATTAGCACCTAAGTTAAGTTTGTTATTTTTAAATATATATGATTGTAAAAATAATAAAAAACAACAAATATTTTTCGGATTTCGCTCAAATGATGTTGCTTTGAAAAATACATTGACCACTGTGCGCAATGGTGCTAAAACTGTAACTGTCCATGCAGATTCTAATAAGGTAAGGTAGGTGAAGTGCATGTTTGTTTAGAATGTTTGTTTGCCACTAAATCGCATTTTTATCTGTTTGTTTTGCTCCGTTCTCTGTTTACTTGTCAATTCAGCTTTGCAATGCTTAAAATTAGTAACAGATAAAAGCTGGCAAGTGTGAGTGTCGAACTAGCCACTTAAATGAACACCCCTCTTCGATATGGCTTATCAGCGGTTCCTCTACTTATCTCTACGTATTATACAATAAATGCCCATTTTTTGGTAAGCAAATATTTATATTTAAACATATATGTACGTAGCTGTGAATATCTAAAACTCACATGCTAATATTTGAATTTCTGTGTTATCATTCGATTGCACCCATTTGAGAAATTCCGCTTTCCAAGTCCCTGAGAAATAAAGCATCCTACACCTACCAAAGTCAGAAAAATTTTAAAAAATAACTAAAATCAACGCAAACCTTAGTAATATCTTGAACCAAAAAATTGATATCTGAGTGGAACTGTTTCTGTCAACGAGGGCTTCTCAAACTGTAAGCTTTAGTGCTACGCACCCATAATTACTTGCGAAATATTCCGCCAGTGCCTCTAAATCGGCGAGCTTTTGATAACCACGCCATAATTTCCATTCGGATTTTTCAATGTTGTTTGTTTTGCTCGGCTCTGTTGCTGCTTCTCTGTTTACCTGGCAAGCTTTATGAATCAAAAATCTCCAAACGATCTCCATGTGGAATCTAATGCCACGAGTGCTGGAGATAACCCCTAATCGGGAATTGTATTTGCAGGGGTCTCAAAAGTGGCAATAAAACACAGCAGTCCGGATGACTTTTGTAGGTGCTTATCAGCACTCGGAGTTCCATTCGTCAGACGATTCCCAGACCGAATCGGACCAGCCCACGATTACGCAACAGCATGGAACTTTTTCACTCAATGCGATACGTCTTTAATATACATACGTATAATTTGCATAGAACAGGCAACAGGCATAAAGAAATTGAAAAAGAGGGACTTAGTGCTATATTTAAATGCAGGACTGGTTTGGATGCGGAGGTGACGTGGTGGTGGCCACCACAACCTGTAGTCAGTGACCTAAACCTAAACGCTGAACTTCTCCTTCTTCATCAGGTCGTACACCACGGAGAAGTCCTTGTTGCCCAGACCCTTCTCGCACAGCGACTGGTAGACCTTGTGGGCCAGGGAACCCAGCGGGATGGGTGAGTTGGAGCTGTTGGCCACTCCGGAGGCCAGTCCCAGATCCTTGGTGATCAGGGCCGTGGAGAAACCGCCGGCGTAGTCTCTGTTGGCTGGGGCAGTGGGGCAGACTCCGGGCACGGGGTTGTAGATCTCCGAGGACCAGCAGCGTCCGGTGGAGGAGTTGATGATCTCGGCAAAGATATTGGCATCGAGCCCCTGGCGCACCGCCAGATTCATGGCCTCCGACACACCGATCATCGAGATGGCCAGCATCATGTTGTTGCACAGCTTGGCGGCCTGGCCCATGCCATAGACGCCGCAGTGGGTGATCTTCTTGCCCATGCACTCCAGGACGGCCTTGACGGCATTGTACTCCGCCTCCGTGCCGCCCACCATGAAGGTGAGGGTGGCCTGCTCGGCGCCGGGCACTCCGCCGGAAACGGGTGCATCGATGAACCGGGCTCCCTTGGCGCTGATCTTCTTCTGCAGCGACTTGACCAAATCCGGCGAGATCGTCGACGAGTCAATGAAGATGGTGTTCTTGTTGACGCCATCGGCAGTCATCTCATCGTAGGAGGCATCCACAATGGCGTTGTTCGGCAGCATGGTGATCACAAAGTCCGAGTTCTGGGCCAGCTCTGAGGTCTTGGAGTACACGGTGGCTCCCTTGGCGGCCAGACCATCGCAGGCAGGCTTGGAGATATCGAACACATGCAGCTTGTGGCCGGCCTTGATCAGGTTGCTGGCCATGTTGGCGCCCATGTTGCCCAGGCCCACGAAACCGATGTTCTTGGCTCCGCCCTGGGTGGACATGGCCCTCACCAGGGTCTGGCTCCAGGCATTCAGAACAGCGGGGGACATCACACGTAGCGACATGGCTGCGAAAAGTTCCACAGTGTTATGTAATCTCGAATGGGCAACCAGCCACTAGATCTCACCCACCTGTTAGTCTAAGAAATCTAAGGTATACGGCTGAAACTGCGCGAGTTCTACGTGATCGGATCGCTGTCAGAAGCACACTGCTCCCCGCAGTTGGATGGTCGCTTATTTTCAGCTCATTCCAGCGGCCGCTCGAGAGTTGTCAGCTACACTTAATGGGCCATTAATATTTTCTAAGAAAAGTTCGATTTTTAATCAATAAGCAGCTTTACTGTGTAAGGAAAAACTCTTAAGCTATTTTAAACTACTATAGACGGACGTATTTCATGTTAAGAAAGCAGCTTCATTTTTCATGTAGCTTTAAAATATTTGAAAATATCTATTTCTATCATATAAATCTCATATATTTCAGTTGAGCAATATAATTAAATAGAAACCCCATTTAATGCTACTGAAAATAAACCGCAGTTTTGTGGAATCCGTACGAAAAAAATTCTTTTGGAGCCCCGACAACTCTGCTGGATCAAAACAAGTTCTCTATAAGCATGTAGCTCCTAGCTCTCCACCATATGGTTAGCACATTATATACTGTATATTGTGTCTAGAGTTCCAGTGACGCCGGCAAAAGCTTTTCAGCTCTGCTCTTTCCAATGCTTTTATTTGATTTATTTAATAAGTGAGCGACACGTGCCGCTGTTTCGCTTATCAGTATGGGCAAAACTTTCGATTTTATTTACTTTCATTGACCTTCGGCGCTTCTGGGGGCTTGTGTGCGTGATGGGGGGTTTAGAAATTTGTGGGTGTGTCGCCTCGACGTTGAGTGCCTTGCCCAGAGGCTTCCAAACTGTAAGCTTTTGCGCTGAAATGATTAAAGAACTTCTGGAACCACTGAAATTAATTTAGCTTAAATAACTAAATAATATTTGCGCCCTTCGAAGCTTGAACTCCGTTCATTCAATGCCTCTTTCCTCAATTGAATGAATGAATGAATGGCAACTTGCGAATCGCCTCAATTGCGTGAAATTTCGTGCATAACTAAGTTCACACGAGCAATTTCCAAACTGATGTTTCATTTTACACTCTCCTCAAGGGTTTACTTCGCTACACAAACAGTGATACAGCAGTACCTTTATAGCCTAATACACACAACTTTATAGCCTAATAACTGAAAAGGCCTTAGACCTTGAAAGGCCTAACTACATGGTTAAGACCTTTAAACTGTATTGTTGCATTTATGGCCATTGTAAACATTAGTTTGAACACATTTAATTTATTAGTGTGTGCACTTAATCCGCAAGTTGTTAAATATAAAATTGGTTGTCCAATTGTTAGGGTATGTGAGGATCGTTATCGTACACCCAACTTTTTATAACGTTTTTCTTTTTGCACCTTTCTTGCGCTAGAGCTTTGCCAATACTTGATCCCACAATAAACAATTTGATGTTTCGCGATTTTGCTTGCAATTTTATCACCGCTTTCCGAACCTCAATTGGCGCAGATACTTTTTTCGCCCAAATTGTACAATGGTCATAAGGTTTCGATGCTGCTGCTGAAGTGGTTTTTTTTATTAATGTAGCTGCTCGCATAAAAATCGGCATGCATGAAATTGCAACTGCTCGAGCTGCGTTTCGCAAAATCTCGTCCAATTTACGGCCCGCCTGTCGTGGCTCCGATCTTACGCAATCCTACGGACCTCGTTGTCAGCGAACTGAGTTATGCTTATCAACAGCAAGCCGCTGAAGTACACACGAAAAACTAAAATATGTACATTTTATACATATAATTTCTCCAACTGATATTCAGATACTAAGCAGATATTCTCATAAACACTACATTGAATAGATCTCTTAGGTACAAGGTGAATATCTAAATTGTACATACCTTCATTTGATGTACCTCTTAAAATCTCACCCATTGACATACAAATTTCATAACATTTTGAATTATTATAGATTTCAATCATCTAGAGAAAAAACTGTATTCGAATAAGAGAGCTAGTAAGTAGCCATATCGCAGATACCGCTGATGGTGGTTTTTGGTGATTTATCTGTGTCAGCGCGTCTGCAGCATCCGCCAACGTGCGACGATCGCCTAAGTGCATTTCAATTTGGGGAGTGGAGCGGATCGAGATCGCGACAATGGCGCAAAAATCACATCGAATGGGGGACATCGGTTGCCCAGCAGCGCTCACTTACATAAGCGCTTGTCAATTGTCAAAATACCGGCAAGACCCTTATCTAACGCCATAAAGTGCAATTCAGCGAATGATTAACACGAATATGGGCCGAAACAACAGCAAGTACAGGTGAGAGTGCGTCTCTTTGAAACAATTTACAATTTACAAACCAAAAGCAGAAAAAAAATTAAAAAGCCAAAGGCGCCAAAGAAGCCACAAGCGAAGTGAAGCATTAAAGCGCAAAACTACGAGCTTCAAGTGGACCATTTGGGCTTGGCTTTGGAAAATGTTCATGCTCATGGCATTTGTACACACTCTTATGCGTACATCGTACATCAAGTATACGCAGCGGTGTGCCAAGCTCATTAGGCCGACATTATAACATTTCTCCGCTGCGGTTTCGCCCCACAGTTGGCTGCTACTAATTTCCATGTCAAACACAGGCAGACAGCGAGATTTCACTCATCGTCAACCGCGCACCCACAAATCACAAATCACTAATCACAAAACACAGAAAAAAGCGTGCACTTGAGGCGGCTGAAATAATTCACATTGCGATTGAATTTTATTCGCCCGCAATGCATTACACGCAATCGTTACAGTGTGTTGCAAGAGATTAGGGTTATCCTTTAATAGATCAATCAAAAAATACTAATAGATAAAACGATGCAAGTATGCATAAATGATAATAAGTTTCCATAACTAACCATTGAAATTCATTGAAATTAATTAAATATATTTCAAGGCATAGTATGTTTCTGATTCATGAATCTGGATCTGGTTTCTTGACCCGCCCTGAACTCGCTGCACGCAATGTGATGCATGCGACAGGTCGCCACAATCTGCATGCCACCGCGTAGATCCGTGACTCAGAGAGGAACACATTACCATGTAATTTGCCAGCCAGCGGTTGTGACATCGTGAGCGACTACTGACATTTTTCAGGCAGCCTGTCTTCGATTTCGTTTCCGGCCAGCACGTAATTGAAATTACATTAAGCCAGAAATTTTGGCAGTGAAATTGCGTTCGATAATCACTTTCCTGGGATTTAATTGTTTCCCTGTGCTAGACTTTACTGCTGGACTTTCGCTCTGCTCTCGATCGAATGTACGTTCGGACCTACATTAACATGCCAACTGAAGAGACCACTCCAAAACGATATGAAAATGAAAAACTAACTGAAAACACACACTCACACACGCCCAATGCGGAAAATTGAAATGCAGTTGGAGTCACTGCAGCGGGTTTTGGGAAAGGAAAGTGAAATTATCATCCCAAGCCAAAGCCGCAGCCGCAATCCAACTCAACTCAACTCAACTCAATTCGATTCAATTCATTTTCGATTTCATTCGGCCTGAGTTTTTGAATCGTTTCTAAGGTTCGCGCTTTTTAATACGCCGCGTGCATAATTATTATGTGTTCGCATACGTATGTATCTGCTCACTTAGTCCCCAATTGCCGACACCCTGGCCTACAGCCTATAGTTTAGTGAAATTGAAAATCATTTTTGAAAGTGGTCAAATTATTCGCTGCCCGACAAAACACACATTCCATGCGACCGTTTAGAGCGAATGTGTTTTTCTGTTTGTCGTAATTTTTCATCGCGATGTTGTTTGTGCTTGGCATATATTTTCCATCTTTTTCTGTTTTCTGTGCTTTTCTTTCTTTTTTGGTCACCGTATTACAAAATTTTAATTGCAGTTGGCAGAGTGAACCAAAAAAAAGCGCAGCTGCCGAAAGAGAAATGCTCTTCGAATTGCTTGGCAGTTTATGAACTCTGAAATGCATAAAATAGATTTATTAACCTCAAGGAAAAAAGTGATTAATTTTTTATGGGCAAGCACAACACTTGAAACGTACATTACCAATTAAAAGAGCTTTGAATAGACACTCTGAAAACTAAGAAAACCGACTTACAACTCGAACATAATTAGCTGATTAAAACCCCATTGTTCGGAGCCGTCCCCCGCTGTTTTCACCCACTGATACACTTCCCCCTCCTGATTTGTATCCTCGAATCTCCACCAGCGGCGACATCAACATAAAAACCAACAGCTCGAGCGGCAGATAAATGTTTGGCTAACCCAAATCCACACACAAGGAAGGAAACTAGCGAAGCCTCTCGGCTCGAGAGGCTCTCCGCTGGCAATCCAGTTTTCCAGATTTCGACCACATTTTGACCAGTGCACACTGACTGCCGTGCATTGCAGCGGGAGCAGGAAGCGTTTTATGGCCAAAAGCACCAAATAGCCAGCATTTTGGGCATCACCCGAGGGGCAGAGCAGCGGCAAAAAGTTGTCTTACTTTCGTGAGCCTAAATGCATTTGGCTCTCGATGCGTCGACGCATCGACAAGCCAACTCTCTCCTTTCGATTGCATAAGTGATATTTATGTCTTCTTGTCAGCGTTGCATCAGCATCAGTTGCGAATCGCAATCTGCTGGTTATCTGCACCTGGCCCAAAAGATTCTACGGCTAATTGGGCTGAATTATGGCAGAAAAACATGGCCAATTAAGTTGATCTATTTTATGTCGGACTGTGGGAACCATTCGAGTCGAATTTTATGCAAATCTCGTTACTCTTTTCCGCATACATCGCGGAAAATGCGCAAAGAGCTTGGGAATAGCCATTCATAAGCAGGGCTCTGAAGGTCGCGATCTGTTACCTTTGCCATTTGGCAGCGCCACCTTGGGCGTGTGAGCCATTTCAATGAGACACCTGTGAAAAGGTCAACGCTAATTGCCCCACCATTGCCCAACCAACCATTGGCCGTCAATTGAATTCGATTGAATTTGATTCTCAATCGACGGGGCAGGTGAAAGTGCTTTGTTCTAGAAACAGAGCTGCAAAGCAACTAAATAACATTCAGCGGAAGTTCAAGACGCGAGTCGCGGTTGAATGCTCTCCGATCTCCGAAAGATCCCGTCACATAACTCAGGTCGCGCGGTGGAAACCTTCCTCGTACGTCACCAGTCCGCGCATAACTCACGCCCACCTGGGGCGGCAGGTGAGGCAGACGCACAGACG